TACACTGCATACCATGTTTTAATTTTCTTAATGCATTATTGCGATACCATAAACTGTGAGAAAAGGCTAGATAATTATTGTCATAATACATTTTTGGATCATTGTTGCTCTACCATATGATAGACAGTGAGGCCACAAGCATCCTGGATTTTATTATGACCCAAAGGGTTCCAAAGTCAAACCAGCTAGTCTACACTGAGACCACACTGAGCAATTTGGCAAAACATTGCTGATTACCGAAACATATTCCTGGCCATCTGATGCTGGCTCAAGAAAATAAAACCTATAGCGACTATGTCTAGCGGCCCTGAGACAAGGTAGACTGCACCTGGGGCTGTACTGGATGTGCAACTGAAACTTTCGCACTAATGGCTTGTTTTATAGTGCGAGTGGCAAACAGGAAGTTGTACAGGAAACACGTTTTTCCTTGCTGACTGCATGAAAGTGGTCCTCTGCATTTCTTTTGTATCAATATCCATTCATCATTTCCTACACCCCTGAGTGGCAGTGCCAGTGAGTATGATCATATTTACACCACTAGGTATAGGTTATTGTGTATATTTCATATCTCACGCAGTTATACAATCCTCTAGGAATGTGTTAAGAAATGATGATGTGCATTCTAATGTAAGCCCTGCTTTTAGGGTATGGGATGCCTGTACATCGATTTTCCTCGATTTTGAGATCTCTCTGTGTTTTATGTTTGAAAATACCCTGTGAAAAACAATTAAATGTTAGTTTCTTCACTGTTTTGTATTTTCACACTAGTCCACAAGTCAACTAGTCGACTAGTCTGAGCAACCTCTATATTAAATCAGTCCAAACGACACATGCTGGCCTGTTTCTTGGAGATAAGATATATGAGGAAGAGTTTAGCTGGCTGTAAAAGACTAATACACATCAGAGGTAACATTAGAATGGAGCAGTACAGTGTGCTAAATCCTGGGCTGTGGTTTTGTAGTTATTATGCAGCACTAACTTCCTTCCTGTACTTTCCAATTTTACATAGTTCCTCTTCTTGTTTTGTCTTCTCAATATGCACTGGGTCTTTGAACCTGAACCATAAAACACTTTACGAAGAAGAATACTGTGTACTTAAGTGAATCAAACCAGTGGCAGAGCAAGTGCCAGTTTGACACTCTGAAGTCCACAATGAGCAAAGCATTTGATTAGCCTTAGATGGATATTACCTACATTATGAAATGGGCTACAATTTTTCAAAATCCTTCAACATACCATCTGTAGTAGCCATCAAAACCAAGAACTGAACATTCAAAGAACAAGACATAAACCAATTGTCAACAGCTGGACTCTTATTTAGATCAGTTCCTGTCCCCTCAGCTGAGATGTGGTACCTCAAGAATTTGACCTCATGCTTTAGAAAATGAGATTTTTCCAACTCCATCTTGAGGCCAATTACTTTGAATTATTCCAGTACTTTATTTAGCTTCTGCAGATGTTCCTTGAACATCCCACAGAATGCCAAAAAATGATCCAAATAAACCAACATAACCTAAAATAATTGCTGCAATAATCTCTGAAACGTCATTGATCTTTTAGAAGGGAATTGTGAACGCAGTCTTATGCTACTTAGCATTAGCACTTCATGCAAATGCTAATGCTAAAGTAGCTGCTCAGAAACCGCAGTACAAAGCCAGAACAGAATATTGGTCCCAGTCACTTCATTTGCAGGACAGATTTGACCCACTGCAAGGTCTCAGTGAGTCTCCTAAGGGCAGTGATCAAAATGCAGAAAGAACCAGAAGTGGCAGCCAGTCAGAGCGCCCTGGTAGAGTCATTGGGCCCTGGTCTGTGGCCACAGCAGACACCCTTGTTTTTGAGAATGACTCTGTTAATGATGTAAAAAAACAGAAAGTCACAGTTCAATGTGAGCCGAACATCGCAGTCTCCGAGCTAAATGAAAAGCTTCCTACATTACTGGCCGACAGTGAAGCGAACCATATTCGTGTAGGCAGGAATGACACGAGGAAGCACGAGTCTGGAGCATTAAAAAGTGACTTTAATGATCTTTTCAACACACTCAGAAAGCTCAACGTGCAGCCATTTATTAGTGGTTAATGATGTTCAACTGTATCAGTGGCTGGAGACCCGAAAACCACATGAGCAATCCTCGGCTACTTGACAATGGGTCTCAACCTATCAGCCACTGTTAAGGATGTCGCTTTGTCAGATCATTACTGCATTTTCTTTGAAATGTTGACCTCACTAGACATCAGGACCAGACACACTTGCTTCTCCTCAAAGTTTGTCAGTGTCATGGATATGATTGTACCAGTTAAAGTTAAACCCATGTCATGCCAACAGAAAGCATCTTGGAGGAATGCTACCACAGTTCAACTCCAAAAGACAGAATGCAGGAAGGCTGAACGCAGATGGTGTAAAACCAAGCTTCAGATCCACAAGATAGGCTTGATTACAACATAATAATGTGCAAAGCTAGACAATCCTTTTTCTCCAATAATATTAACAACAGCGGAATACTCTCTAAATCACCTACATATATGGCCCCTGAATTAGTATCACCTGAGAAATGTCAAGAGTTGCAAATGTAATGAGTGCATACTTTTTTAACACTAAAGTCCATAATATCAGTCAAGCCATTAATACATTTGTATCCACCAAAGAGCCAATGTCCAATCCATTACCACATAAAGGTATCATGGTCAAAATGTCCTAGGTTAGTGCCATTAGCTAGTGCTAAGCTAGTGCTAACTTGATTTTTAATTTAATGACTTTTGTCTTTTAAAATCTGTTATTTTGATCATGTTTTAATTTTTTTTATTTCTATTCTCCTTCACTTTTTTTTTCTATTGTCCTTCACTTTTTAAATGACTTTGTATTTTGAATGACAGCAGTGTATGAAAGGTGCTATATAAATAAACCTGCTTTGCCTAATGCCAACTATTTCCAAGGTCAGTGGTTGAATCAAATACTGTGCTGTGTAAATGATCAAAACTGAAGCTTGGTAACAGGAAAACATCTTTCCTTGTTTTCTGATTACATACATACATCATCTAAATCGCTTATCCTTCTGGGTCACGGTGGGATGCTGGAGCCTATCCCAGCTGTCATTGGGCGGAAGGCAGGAAACACCCTGGACAGGTCGCCAGTCCATTGCAGGGCAGACAGACATACACATTCACTCACCTAGGGGCAATTTAGCATGTCCAATTAGCTTAACTGCATGTTTTTGGACTGTGGGAGGAAACCCACGCAGACACAGGGAGAACATGCAAACTCCACACAGAAAGGACCCTGGTCGCCTGGCTGGGAATCGAACCCAGGCCATTCTCGCTGTGAGGCAACAGCGCTACGCACTGCGCCCGTTTTCTGATTAATTTTAGATAATCAATTTTTGATAATCTATGCACATGTAGATGCTTTTTGTACTCTGACTACACAAGAAGCCTAAGAGCTACTGCTCTCCTGAGTGACACCTTTTCTCCAAAGATTGGACCTCTCTGTTATATTGCTTGTCCAGTGCTGTCAGATAAATGCTGGAATTTCACATCACAATGTAATCCTCCACTGACCTGCTCTACTGGAGACAAAAAACAGTTGTGTTCTGGGGAAAAACCACATGTCCTCATTACCAAGATAAACAACCTATGTGATCCTGTGAATCAACCGGAGTGTGGATGACAATCAGACCTGCAGGCAATGAAATATTTTATGGCATAGATAGCATCATCTTTACTAGATTACTTTGGACAGACTAATGTCATGAGTGACCTCAGATGACAGGGCTGTATCTCTGCCTGCTAATCTAGCAATAGCCTTCTTCTTGACATTATATTTTAGAATTTGCTGAAAATGATGCCTCCAGTCAGATTCAAAACTCTAGAATCAAACTCCAAATCAGCTCCCTATGCCAATTAATTACGTTCATGCCAAGAATACCAAGGACTACATCTGGTTATTCTACACTTTACTACCTAAAAACACACTTTTAGCTACTGTTGTGTCCAACACCTAAACTCTCAACTGCACAGCATTTCCCGATAGCATATTCCACACCTGATAAGGGGATAGCATTGCTTAAGTTGAATCAATAGCTTGCCCCCAAATTGCCTGAATGTCAACAGGAGATTCTAGTTTTCCTGCAAATGGGATTCAGGGCAGAGTACACTTTCAGTTACAAGTGACTTTAATAGGCAAATACTAGAAATATGACCTGACATTTGAAACAGACAGGTTTGCCATCATCTGTGAAATTTTGCTGAGACCTCTACTTACTTTCAGCATAGCTAGAGCTCAACCTCTGGGTAGTGAGATTGTTTACTGCTTAGCTCACTAACGTCTTTCTTTACATGGCTACTGACTTTGATTCACTAACTCCAACCACAGTATACTGTGCAGAACCACCAGCAACCATAAGGCCCTTTGCTCCAACGTTTGGTGGTGTTGTGATCACAAAACTTACCTTGCCTTCTGCCCAATGACAGCTGGATTAGGCTCCGGCTCCCCAGGAGGATAAGTAGCTTAGAAAATGTGTGTGTGCTCATCCACCATTTATTCTGAAATCAAGGGTGTTAAAAGGGAGTTCGCTTTTTTGCAGTAATAGCCTCTACTCTTCTGGAAATACCCTAAAAATAATACTTTCAATCTGCCAATAAGACTTTTTTACATTTTAGTAGTAGCTGTTTTAAAACAAGAAAAGTACTTTAACACATTATTTGTTAAAGGAACACTAACATACAGTTATGCTTTTTATTTGCAAGAATGACAATAATACAAAGTAGGCATCTTTAATCCTGAAAAATCTAGAAATATTTGCAATATGATTAATTAAGCAATAGTGATAATGTATTCAAATTATTTCATACGTTAAATATCTTTCAAGTTATGTATTTGAATTCATGTGAATTAATTAATGTAATTTAAAAAAGACCAATGTAAAAAATTACAAAAACATCCATAATGCTTTATTTAATTTGCTTGAAGAATCAAGAATGGCTTACTGTTTTATGTCTGTGCAGAGACTTCAAGGTGGGCCAAGTAAGAACTACAGTGAACTTGTGGAGACTCTGTTCTCGCTGTTCCCTGATGAAGAACACTACTCAGATGCTGATCCTCACCGCTGCAGAACCTGTGCTGTGGTGGGCAACTCTGGAAATCTGAAAGGATCTCATTATGGCCCTTTAATAGATGCCCATGACTTTGTTATAAGGTACTGACAAAGAATGATTATCTATCTATCTGTCTGTCTGTCTGTCTGTCTGTCTATCTATCTATCTATCTATCTATGTCTAAGTAGAGCCTGAAGGAGCTGATCATGTAGGCCCACATGACTTTTTAACCAATAAAGTCTAGATCTCTGGATTTAAGGAGAAGAAAGAGCACTAACAAGCTCCACTTCACTCTTGGCAGTGCTCAGTTCCCATCTATTTTGGGGGAAAAACAGTGGACAAATCATGTTTACCATGGAAGTTCAAGGCCTGGAAATACCAGCATGCGTCCTTCCACGAGCACTCTGGCCGCATCTGGTTTATGAATTCCCTATAAAAACAGTTGAGGGCTTCAAGAAGAAGGCAGGCAGGTTTCAGTGGAAGAGTCTTGGACTGCCTCAAGTCCAGCCTCCTGCCTCAGCTCCCCTTGAGCAGCCTGAATAAAAACATGATTTCCACATTAAGTTTCATAATGCTTCAGTTATTTCAGCCATTCTGTTTGCAACTCAACCATTTGAAAGCATATCAACCATCTACTGCCAAGAAGCAGGTCAGGTCATTGCTGAGGTTGGTCAGGTAGTACCCACTGTGTGCTTTGATCTCCGTGGTTTCGCTTGTTCAGTGGAATTGTTTTCTGTACAGCAAGCTTTCTTACAAGCACACCAACTTCATAAAGACAATCATCTGACATTTTTCTGTTTGAACAGCATGTTCTGACCACTAAGTCTTCAAACACATCTGCACATTTCCTGCCAGCTATGCCCTGCTCAGCCGCAACTTCCTGTTTATATTGTTTTTAAAATCTTGTATATCTTCCAAATTGTCATCAATCATGCATGCTTTCTTTAAACGTCCATGCGTCAAAGGCCCTTTTGACTAAAAATAAATCAAGTGTGTCTCTGAACATTGATGCGTGTGTGTCCAGAGAAGGGTCAAAGACAATTATAACTTCCCACATTGTGGCATATACACTCACTGAGAAGTTTTTTAGGGACACCTCCTTGTTTCTACGCTCACTGTCAATTTTATCAGCTCCACTTACTATATAGGTGCACTTTGTAGTTCTACAGTTACAGACTGTAGTCCATCTGTTTCTCTGCATACTTTGTTAGCCCCCTTTTACCCTGTTCTTCAGTGGTCAGGACCCCCATGGACCCTCACAGAGCAGGTACTATTTGGGTGGTGGATCATTCTCAGCACTGCAGTAACACTGACGTGGTGGTGGTGTGTTAATGTGTGTTGCGCTGGTCTGAGTGGATCAGACACAGCAGTGCTGCTGGAGTTTTAAACACCTCAGTGTCGCTGCTGGATTGAGAACCAAAAATATCCAGCCAACAGCGTCCTGTGGGCAGCGTCCTGTGACCACTGATGAAGGACTAAAGGATGACCAACACAAACTGTGCAGCAGCAGATGAGCTGTCGTCTCTGACTTTACATCTACAAGGTGGACTGACAAGGTAGGAGTGTCTAATAGAGTGGACAGTGAGTGGACACAGTGTTTAAAAACTCCAGTAGCACTGCTGTGTCTGATCTACTCGTACCAGCGCAACACACATTAACAAGAAAGGCCAAGCTTCGTAATAATGAGCTTGATTTTGGAATAAATGTTGGATGAGCAGATGTCTACTTTTGGACTTCCAGTGTATTAGACTGTAACAAAAAGCCGTAAATTAGCCATAATTCAAATGGAGGTAAAAGCTATAAAACTGATGTGGTCACTGACAGTGGAGTAGCCATGGCAACATAAGCAAGTCCACAGCAGCAGGCAGTTTGCTTTTTCTTTTAAAGGTATTTTTTCTGGTAGATGTTGGGCTTTGAGTGTATGTGTGACATCGGATTATGGATGTCAAATTACATAAAAGCGGAAATGACAACAGTAGCCTTGAGAAGTGTTAGTGGCTACTGCAAGTAGAAACTTATGCAACATTTCATACAAACCTTGATGGTGTTTGATTAATTAAGTAGCCTTGTGTAGTTTGGTGGCTATGATGGGCAACAAATCATTCAAGCTATGTTAGCATTTGTTGGATGAGTCACACCAGCCAACAAATGATATAGAAAAATATTAAATAGCTAGAGAAGGAACATATTTGTGCTGGAAATTGGTGTTTGGCCTATGTGAAACTGAACAGTTCAATTCAAAGGTTTAAAACAAGCTGTTTAAACCATTGCCTTCAGAATAGGACAGTGGGCTGTGTTAGTACAGGATGAGGGTATACCAGCAGATGTAAACTAATGATAAACTTCAAAAATATCAAGACCAGTTTTGAGTTTACAAAAAAACTAAAAAACATGTACAGTAATACAACAGCATCTTATGGATGGATGAGACAAAGCTAAATTGTAACAGAATGATGGGAAAAAGTATGGAAAAAGGAAGGAACTCATTATCTAAAGCACAACATCTTATCTGTCAAGCATGGTGGAGGTAGTGTTATGGCGTGAGCACGTATGGCTCCCAGTGGAACTGGTTCCCTTGGGTTTATTGATGACATAACTGCAGACAAAAATGAGCAGGATGAGTGCTAAAGTGTATATGGCTATATTATCTGCTTAGATTCAGCCAAATGCTTCAAAACCTGCTTCACAATGCAGAAGGACAATGACTTAAAGCGTACTGCAAAAGATTTTTTAAGGTTCTACAATGGCCAAGGCAATCGCCTGACCTCAGTCCAATCAGGATATCACTTAGACTTGCGAAACCTTAGAATTACAAGGCCATATTATTTTTTATGGTTTCTTCACTGTCGTGTGATTGTACACAAATGACAATGTTTTGTTTATTTTGTTTTTGAACAAAGAAGTGCACATGCTTGTTTACACATTGTTAGTGGGAAAAGTGTTGTTGCACCCTGAAACATTCATAAAATGTGCAGGGAAGAAGCATGAATATCTCAGGTAGAGGTGGAAGTTGTTGTAGTCCTGCTGTGTTCATTCTGTACCATGGGTGATAACTTCTTTCAGCTTAACTTCAAATTGCTCCAGAGGGCCTATCCCTGTTGTTGGCGACTGTGCATCGGCATGAAAATTAAAACTATGTATAACTGTTCTACAGGATGAACAAAGCCCCCACTGAAGGCTTTGAGAAGGATGTTGGGTCGAAGACCACCCACCGCGCCATCTACCCTGAGAGTGCTATGGACATGGACAACTCCACCCACCTTGTCCTGGTACCATTTAAAATTATGGATCTTGAGTGGCTCATCAGTGTCTTCACCACCAAACACATCACACGGTGAGAGCGCACACCTGGCCAGAGAAATACACATATAATACAGTCAGCTCCATAAATATGATGCTGACAAAGTCATTGTCATTTTAGCTGCCTTTCATATCATATTGGAATTTAAAGCAGCACTATGTAATACTTTTGTTAAGACCAAAAGAAGTAGTTTTACTGCGGCTTCCAGACTTCAAGCAGTCATGGTCAGCAAAAGATTTTCACTGATAATAACTGTTAGTTTGTCCAGTTACATTTGAGCCTCTAAATTGTGGGATTGTTTATGAAAATGACTGTATTTTCTGATGTTAATACCTTCAAATGATTTCAAACTTCAATATACTGTGGTCGACAGCTAAAATAACAAATCGCTGTTGTCAGAATAAAATTTTGTATCTCAGAAATGGTAACTTCACAGGAGAAGGAAAAAACATACTTTACTTTCAATGTAAGTCAAAGGAACCAGACTTTTTTCGAAGTAGTTTTAGGTCATTTTCTTTTAGTCCATTCATCATGAAATTTACATACAATGTAAAGGGTAACAGGTACGCATTTTCAAATTATGTCAAAACCTGAAAAACAAAAAAAAGGAGATACAAGGTTTTCTTCCGACAACAGCGAAATAGTTTGTTGACGTCCAAATCTTAACATAGAAAGCCAGCAATACAGGAAGTGAAATCTAGTTTTAGAGAAAGTGTTATCAATATACATTTAAACACATTCTTACCTTTAGATTCATTATCTGATCCATAGAAAACATATTCAAACATATAAATACCCTTTTTTGTTGTTGTTTGTTTGTTTGTTTTCTAGCACATATACAAGAGTGAAAAACACAATACAAGCAGACAAGGACAAGGTGAGGACCATGCTCAGTGTTGTTCTTATTTAGTGCCTGAAGAAAAATTACAAATTACTGTACAGTATTTTGGTTGATGTCCTTAAAGTTTTGATCAAACAACGCAGATTCATCTTCTTTGTAAATCTGGCTTTAAGAAGTGCTCTCTGTTTGTTGTTGAAGGTGATGATATTGCACCCTGAGTTTATGAGATATGTCTATGAGATCTGGCTGCAGAAACAGGGGAAATATCCTTCTACTGGCTTCATGATGCTCGTGCTGTCCCTGCACATCTGTGACCAGGTAAAGCCATGGTGGACAGCATGTTCTGACAATTCCTCACATCAGCTTACCAGGGTAACTTTGAATAGACATTTGTGGGTGTCATGCAAACACACACCCATAGAGTCAAGACCAAGACTTTCGAGTAGTGGAGTCAGAGTCAAGCCCGAGACTTTGTAGCAGAGGAGTCAGAGTCAAGACCGAGACTTCGTAGTAGTAGAATCTGAGTCAAGCCCGAGACTTTGTAGCAGAGGAGTCAGAGTCAAAACCGAGACTTCGTAGTAGTAGAATCTGAGTCAAGCCCAAGACTTTGTAGTAGTAGAATCTGAGTCAAGCCCGAGACTTTGTAGCAGAGGAGTCAGAGTCAAAACCGAGACTTTGTAGTAGTGGAGTCAGAATCAAGCCCGAGACATTGTAGTAGTGGAGTCTGAGTCAAGACCGAGACTTTGTAGTAGTGGAATCTGAGTCAAACTCGAGAATTTATAGTAATGGAATCTGAGTCAGACTCGAGACTTTACAGTAGTGGAGTCAGAGTCAAGACTGAGACTTTGTAGTAGTGGAGTCAGAGTCAAGACTGAAACTTTGAAGCAGTGGAGTCAGAGTCAAGACCAAGACTTTGTAGCAGTGGAGTCTGAGTCAAGCCCAAAACATTGCAGTAGTGGAGTCTGTGTCAAGCTCGAGACTGTGTAGCAGTGGAGTCAGAGTCAAGACGGAGACTTTGTAGTAATGGAGTCTGAGCCAAGCCAGAGATTTGTAGCAGAGGAGTCAGAGTCAAAACCGAGACTTTGTAGTAGTAGAATCTGAGTCAAGCCCGAGACTTTGTAGCAGAGGAGTTAGAGTCAAAACCGAGACTTTGTAGTAGTGGAGTCAGAATCAAGACAGAGACATTCTAGTAGTGGAGTCTGAGTCAAGACCGAGACTTCATAGTAGTAGAGTCTGAGTCAAGACAGAGACTTTGTAGCAGAGAAGTCAGAGTCAAGCCTGAGACTTTGTAGCAGAGGAGTCAGAGTCAAGACCGAGACTTCGTAGTAGTAGAGTCTGAGTCAAGCCCGAGACTTTGTAGCAGAGGAGTCAGAGTCAAAACCGAGACTTTGTAGTAGTGGAGTCAGAATCAAGCCCGAGACATTCTAGTAGTGGAGTGTGGGTCAAGACTGAGACTTTGTAGTAGTGGAGTCAGAGTCAAGACTGAGACTTTGTAGTAGTGGAGTCAGAGTCAAGACTGAGACTTTGTAGCAGTGGAGTCAGAGGCAAGACCTAGACTTTGTAGTAATGGAGTCTGAGTCAAGCCCAAAACATTGCAGTAGTGGAGTCTGAGTCAAGCCCGAGACTGTGTAGCAGTGGAGTAAGAGTCAAGACCGAGACTTCGTAGTAGTAGAGTCTGAGTCAAGCCCGAGACTTTGTAGCAGAGGAGTCAGAGTCAAAACCGAGACTTTCTAGTAGTGGAGTCAGAATCAAGCCCGAGACATTCTAGTAGTGGAGTGTGGGTCAAGACTGAGACTTTGTAGTAGTGGAGTCAGAGTCAAGACTGAGACTTTGTAGTAGTGGAGTCAGAGTCAAGACTGAGACTTTGTAGCAGTGGAGTCAGAGGCAAGACCTAGACTTTGTAGTAATGGAGTCTGAGTCAAGCCCAAAACATTGCAGTAGTGGAGTCTGAGTCAAGCCCGAGACTGTGTAGCAGTGGAGTAAGAGTCAAGACGGAGACTTTGTAGTAATGGAGTCTGAGCCAAGCCCGAGATTTGTAGCAGTGGAGTCAGATTCAAGACCGAGACTTTGTAGTAGTAGAGTCTGAGTCAAGACAGAGACTTTTTAGCAGAGGAGTCAGAGTCAAGACCAAGACTTTCGAGTAGTGAAGTCTAAGTCAAGACCAAGACTTTCTAGTAGTGGAGTCTGAGTCAAGCCCAAGACTTTGTAGCAGAGGAGTCAGAGTCAAGACCGAGACTTTGTAGTAGTAGAGTCTGAGTCAAGCCTGAGACTTTGTAGCAGAGGAGTCAGAGTCAAAACCGAGACGTTGTAGTAGTGGAGTCAGAATCAAGCCAGAGACATTCTAGTAGTGGAGTCTGAGTCAAGACAGAGACTTTGTAGTAGTGGAATCTGAGTCAAACTCGAGACTTTATAGTAATGGAATCTGAGTCAGACTCGAGACTTTACAGTAGTGGAGTCAGAGTCAAGACTGAGACTTTGTAGCAGTGGAGTCAGAGTCAAGACCGAGACTTTGTAGTAGTGGAGTCAGAGTCAAGACCGAGACTTTGTAGTAGTGGAGTCTGAGTCAAGCCCGAGACTTTGTAGCAGTGGAGTCAGAGTCAAGACCGAGACTTTGTAGTAGTGGAGTCTGAGTCAAGCCCAAAACATTGCAGTAGTGGAGTCTGAGTCAAGCCCAAGACTTTGTAGCAGTGGAGTCAGAGTCAAGACCAAGACTTTGTAGTAATGGAGTCTGAGCCAAGCCCAGAGATTTGTAGCAGAGGAGTCAGAGTCAAGACCAAGACTTTGTAGTAATGGAGTCTGAGCCAAGCCAGAGATTTGTAGCAGTGGAGTCAGATTCAAGACTGAGACTTTGTAGTAGTAGAGTCTGAGCCAAGACAGAGACTTTGTAGCAGAGGAGTCAGAGTCAAGACCAAGACTTTCGAATAGTGAAGTCTAAGTCAAGACCAAGACTTTCTAGTATTGGAGTCTGAGTCAAGCCCAAGACTTTGTAGCAGAGGAGTCAGAGTCAAGACCGAGACTTCGTAGTAGTAGAGTCTGAGTCAAGCCTGAGACTTTGTAGCAGAGGAGTCAGAGTCAAAACCGAGACTTTGTAGTAGTGGAGTCAGAATCAAGCCCGAGACATTCTAGTAGTGGAGTCTGAGTCAAGACCGAGACTTTCGAGTAGTGAAGTCTAAGTCAAGACCAAGACTTTCTAGTAGTGGAGTCTGAGTCAAGCCCAAGACTTTGTAGCAGAGGAGTCAGAGTCAAGACCGAGACTTTGTAGTAGTAGAGTCTGAGTCAAGCCTGAGACTTTGTAGCAGAGGAGTCAGAGTCAAAACCGAGACGTTTGTAGTAGTGGAGTCAGAATCAAGCCAGAGACATTCTAGTAGTGGAGTCTGAGTCAAGACAGAGACTTTGTAGTAGTGGAATCTGAGTCAAACTCGAGACTTTATAGTAATGGAATCTGAGTCAGACTCGAGACTTTACAGTAGTGGAGTCAGAGTCAAGACTGAGACTTTGTAGCAGTGGAGTCAGAGTCAAGACCGAGACTTTGTAGTAGTGGAGTCAGAGTCAAGACCGAGACTTTGTAGTAGTGGAGTCTGAGTCAAGCCCGAGACTTTGTAGCAGTGGAGTCAGAGTCAAGACCGAGACTTTGTAGTAGTGGAGTCTGAGTCAAGCCCAAAACATTGCAGTAGTGGAGTCTGAGTCAAGCCCAAGACTTTGTAGCAGTGGAGTCAGAGTCAAGACCAAGACTTTGTAGTAATGGAGTCTGAGCCAAGCCAGAGATTTGTAGCAGAGGAGTCAGAGTCAAGACCAAGACTTTGTAGTAATGGAGTCTGAGCCAAGCCAGAGATTTGTAGCAGTGGAGTCAGATTCAAGACTGAGACTTTGTAGTAGTAGAGTCTGAGCCAAGACAGAGACTTTGTAGCAGAGGAGTCAGAGTCAAGACCAAGACTTTCGAATAGTGAAGTCTAAGTCAAGACCAAGACTTTCTAGTATTGGAGTCTGAGTCAAGCCCAAGACTTTGTAGCAGAGGAGTCAGAGTCAAGACCGAGACTTCGTAGTAGTAGAGTCTGAGTCAAGCCTGAGACTTTGTAGCAGAGGAGTCAGAGTCAAAACCGAGACTTTGTAGTAGTGGAGTCAGAATCAAGCCCGAGACATTCTAGTAGTGGAGTCTGAGTCAAGACCGAGACTTTGTAGTAGTGGAATCTGAGTCAAACTCATGACTTTATAGTAATGGAATCTGAGTCAAACTCGAGACTTTACAGTAGTGGAGTCAGAGTCAAGACTGAGACTTTGTAGTAGAGGAGTCACAGTCAAGACTGAGACTTTGTAGCAGTGGAGTCAGAGTCAAGACCAAAACATTGCAGCAGTGGAGTCTGAGTCAAGCCCAAAACATTGCAGTAGTGGAGTCTGAGTCAAGCCCGAGACTTTGTAGCAGAGGAGTCAGAGTCAAGACCGAGACTTCATAGTAGTAGAGTCTGAGTCAAGCCTGAGACTTTGTAGCAGAGGAGTCAGAGTCAAAACCGAGACTTTGTAGTAGTGAAGTCTGAATCAAGACCGAGACTTTCTAGTAGTGAAGTCTGAGTCAAGACCGAGACTTTCTAGGAGTGAAGTCTGAGTCAAGACCGAGACTTTCTAGTAGTGAAGTCTGAGTCAAGCCCGAGACTTTCTAGTAGTGAAGTCTGAGTCAAGCCCAAGACTGTGTTGTATTTGAGTCCAAGTCAAGACTGAGACTTTGCAGTATGACTCTGTGTCAAGACTGGAGCTTTGTAGCAGTGGAGTCAGAGTCAAGACCGAGACTTTGCAGTAGTCAAGTCTGTGTCAAAAGTCAAAATCGAGACACTGCAGTAGTCGAGTCTGAGTCAAGACCAAGACTTTGTTCTACTCTCTCTTTCTCTCTCTCTCTCTCTCTCTCTCTCTCTCCTCTTGTAGGTGAATATATTTGGGTTTGGTGCCAGTAAAGATGGGAACTGGCACCACTACTTTGACAAAAGATATCATCATCTTCTCAACACTGGCGTACACAGAGGAAGCGCTGAATACAACATCACTCTGAAACTCCACCAGAAAAACAAGATCCGGATGTATAAAGGATGGTAAAGTCAGGTAAAGGAGCTGCTTTTTCTTTTTGTTTGTTATGCTTATTAAAAAATGTTCATTTTATATCCAAAAGCCTATAATGTCACAGTAAAGCCAGGAAACTCATCTTTAACCTTCTTAAAGTAACACAGTGCCACATTGCCTTTATACTGTTAATGATCTGAAGTCAGTTATCACGTCTTTTCTCCTCTGCACTATTAATGTACCAGCTGATTCCTCACGAAATAAACATTACCATAAATTTAAATTAAATAGATGTAATTATTTGATGAAACATGTTATTAATGCATTGTCTATCTCTCTCTCTCTCTCTCTCTCTCTGCCGCTCTTTCATCCCAGCAAATGGAGATAAAAAATAGCACCTTCAACACATTCAACTCATTACAGTATAATGTGGGAGATGTATGATGGACCCTTTTGTGAAGAGAAGACAGTGGAAAGCATTTCCACCCTTTGACCAGCAGATGGAGTCTCAACCCTTCTTCAGAAACCCTGAAGTTATGCAGAATACAGGACATTTTTCAATGAAAACACTTTTTTCCACACTGCACAACCTGTTCTTCCCCCATGTAGCATTATGTTTTATAAAACCTCATATTCATGGGGAAAATAAAGTAATTATTTATAACATTCATTCCATTTTTTAAACGTGTTTTCTCTTTTGATTTTGTTCTTATGATGGATTATATTATGAAACTTAGAAAAAGGCATGCAAATCCTGTCCACACCAGTGGCGGCTGACACTGGAAGCACAGGGGGAGATTAAAAACTGCGTGCTCATAAACAACCATTCAAAAGTGTGGAATTGCTAGACGTACAAAACATTCTGGATATGAATGTATTATAACTTCATTCTTAATGTTAAAAAGATTTATCAGTCTACAGTTCTGTTTGAGTTTCAGGACAAACCTAGGACTGGATTTCTCTTTTTTTCAGATTCTCAATTTCCTTCTCATGTCTCAACTTTTTATGATGCTGCTACAAGTTAACTTATAAAAGAAAAGAACTGAACTCAGAACCTTGTGTTTTCAATTTCTTCACAATATTTCCCCAATGGTGATGCAAGCTGTGAAATAAATTGAGCCAATGACACAAATTGTAGTTTTCAAAGGATTCTCTTTAACTAGTGTTGTAGTCAAGACCATTAAGTCTGAGGCAAGACCGGGACCTGGAGTGGCTGAAACCGAGACCAAAACCAGAGTAAAATAATGTCAGAATATAAAAATAAAAAGAAGAAATTCACTAGTAGGCAATTAATGAGTAGCATTATATTATATAATTTACATAGCATTAAATAATAGATTGAGTATAAAGAATATATATTGCTGCTGTCGGAAGAAAACCTTGTATCTCCAGTTTTGTACATTGTGTGTAAATTTCATGAAGAATGGACCAAAAGAAACAACACAAAATTATGTGGAGAGACGTCTGGTTCCATTGACTTACGTTAAAAGTAAAATATGTTTTTTCCTCCTCCTTTAAAGTTATTATTTTGGAAATATGGGGTAACTTTGGTAGTAAATGATGGTGAGGTTCTTCTCAGTCCCTTCTTCTCTAAAGCTTATTCAGAATCACCACCTAAAGTCCTCTGGGGGAACTGGAGCCCATCCCAGCGGTCACTGGGCAGAAGGCAGAAAACACAGGTTTCCAGTCCACCGCAACTAATGAACATCAACAAACAAATAACATCTATTTAAGATCAAGACCAAGTCCAAGTTATGTTAAGACAAAAAAACAAGACTGAGTCCAAAGTAATGCTAAGACCAAGACAAGGCCAAGTCCAAATGATCTCAAGACCAAGACAAGACTGAGTCCAAATGATGTTGTGACAGTGACAAGACTGAGTCTAAACAATCTCGAGACCCACATGAGACTGAATCCAAATGATATTGAGAGAAGACTGAGTCTAAATGATGTTGAGACCATAAGAAGACTGAAACCTTTAATTTACATTTTCAAGAACAAGACCAGACTTGAATACTACAACACTACTTACAACACTATATTTTTTATTTTAGTTCGAGTTGATGTCAATATTGGCAGTTTCTCATGAAATCTCACAGCTGAGAGCTCCACCAATCATCACATACAGCAGCTGAGCTTCCAGTCCAGAAATTACATTCGTACAAGCCTACAGCCCAATAAACATGATGATTTTCACAAGTAAAGAGCACTACTGTTACCACATAGACTCCCTATGAAGCCTGGTGTCTGGGAGGGACCCCATATGGCCTTGTAAAAGCCTGGTAATGTTTTCCACGAAGGGTTATGTAGCACTACTGGGAAGGTTGCATAACCAGCTGATGTGTTACCCGCAAACCATCACTGATCTCACGTTTAGTGAAATGGCCAAATCTAAGTGCAGCAATACTGGAAATATTTCAAACATAAAGATGACAAATGAGTCCAGTGTATATTGTGTGAGTTCAGACACGTACACTTGCATTCTGAAGAGAGAAACTCAAACTAAAACAGGGAAACACATAATCACTGCAGAATGAATTGAGTTCAATACTATGCAAATACAAGTTGTGTTAAAAACTGTTCTTTGTTTCTGTGATTTTGCCTTATTTCTTATAAATCTGATACCATATCAAAGTCAAAAGGTCAATCTGTATGGATGTTTTTGGATAGTAAATAAAATGTCTATATCTGTGTTAGAGACATTCTGACCCCTGGTTCCTATCACCACCACTGTAAAAAAAAAAAAGTCTGTAAGTTTCTCTACAGACATATAAACAAATAAACATAACAGATTAACAGACACAAGGACAGAATCAGTGCAATTTTCCTTGTATCTGTTATGCCATTTGTGATTTTTTCTGAGGTGGAATTGGGGGTGTTTAACATGTTCTATATATCTAAACGGACATTGATACATCTAATGTAAGTGCAAATATCCATATTTCCATATTTTAATGTTATTTGCTAACTGGGGTGCTCAGTCCTGCTTCTGGAGATCTAGCATCTACAGACTTTAGCTCCATCACTAAACAAACACACCTGATCCATGTAATGAAGGGCTGTAGGGGCATCTGAATAATAGACCCAGGTGTGTTGGATCTGAACCAGCACCGAAATTAAACACCTCTGCCCTAGAGAGTCCTGAGCATTGAGTTCATGTATTTGAATTTTTTCCCCTTTTAAACTGCCATTGACCATAAAAATTGTGGCAATTGTATATGCTATATACTGTACATATAGACAAATAAACACAACAGATTAACAAACACAAGGACAGAATCAGTGCAGTTTTCCTTGTATCTGTTATGCCATTCATCATAGGGTGGGAATGGGGTTGTTAACATGTTCTACACATCTAAAGTGCAAATATCCATATTTCCATATTTTAATGTTATTTTTTTGCTAAATGTTTTTGCTAAAAAAAGGATTGAAGGGTGTATTGTTGTCCATTTAGATGTCGCTGCTGTTGGAACAAAACCTCATGTCTCCAAAATGACAACTTTACCAGAGAAACGAAAAAACATACTTTACTTTTAATGTAAGTCAATGGAACCAGATTTTTTTTCCAAGTAATTTTCGTTCATTTCTTTTGGTCCAATCATCATGAAATTTACATACAATATAAAGGGCAAAAGGTATTTTCAAATTATGTCAAAAACTGAAAAATGACAAAATTGGAGATTCAAGATTTTGTTCTGACAGCGATGATATATGTATATATGCACAAAACTGCACAAAACTGCACAGTTTCAACAGAAATGTCAGTAGAAGGCAGACATGTTGGTTAAATTTGGTATGCTGTCAAATTTGGACCATTAGAAACCATTAGTATTAAAGCCTAATGATTTTTCTTTCTAATGGGAATTGGCTTGTTTTCCAACAGAAACCACTCATTCCTGACAAACACCTTTAGATCCAATTAGGAAAGCATCAGATGCATTTAGAATTAGCCACTGAATACTTGTTAAACCATTAGGATCCTTTGCACTCTAACATCAACACATAAAAAACACCAAAACACATCACAAAACCATCAGGAACCAACAGAAATACTTAGGCTACGTTCACATTACCGGGCTTAAGTGGCACAAGTCAGATTTTTTGCCCTGATGTGACTCAGATCTGATGTTTTCAGAGCTGTGTGGACACACAAATCTGATCTTTTCAAATCCGATCTGAGCCACTTTCATATGTGGTCCTAGATCAGATATGTATCCGATTCGTGGCCAGTTTTTCCACTGCGTGTGCACCATCATTCAGCATTACCATGGCAACAGCACCGAACAGAAGCTAAAGCCTGTAAACGGTGGAAAAGCAGCTCATCTCACCTCTTTCTCCTTCGTCTCGCTCTAATAATGAAGCTGAGAGCTGATCAGAGTTAATTATCTTTGCAGCAAAGCTCGTTCTGCTCGTTAGTTTGTTTGCTGATGATGCACGTGATTCAGAGAGATCGGCAAAATATCGGATTTGGGCAAAAAATCAGATTCGAGCAATGAAGTTTGTAATGTGAACGTAGCCTTAATGGGAGTGCTTGAAACAATTGTTGCAAATTTGTCATTCAGACTGGTTTGACGTGAAATGCTAGAGTCAGAATTGTTCACAGTGGGAACCATTGGATCCACCTCTAAAAGCTCCCTCACAGAAAGTTATTACATGAAATTGTTATGAACACACTGTCTGATGCCTGCGACACTGTTTTCTGATAGTTTTGACATAAGATTTGGAGCGTTGAGTGTTTTGCGGCAAAATAGAACCCAAATAAACCATATTTTTTCAGCTTTTCCATAATTTTACCATGATCAAAATTACAAATAAAAATTTAGAGGACACATAGGTTCACTGGTGGTTTTGGTTAATAAACAATATAATGAATAATAAATAAATAAATGGTTTGGTTAATAAATAAAATGGCTATTTTTCTGTTAGATATTGTGACCCCTGGTAGCTAAAAAAATCAGTGGAAGAGAAAAAAGCTTGTGAGAATGATTCATCAACCTTATTCAAGACTTCCCAACCGTGGTTTTAGCTGTATTTCAGCGTGACATTACACCAGAGCATGACATGGCCAAAATAAATACTCACGAGCTCAATAATTCATTACTCTTATTTACTTGCGCTCCATCAGTTTTCCCGGCGGGCCGAGCGGCTGGACGTCAGATCTGTCATCCGTAATTCAGGTGTCGAGAATGAGCCTGAAATGAATCAGCTGAGGGCGTCTGTGGGACAGACCCTTTCTCAGCGAGGGCCACAGGTTCCTCCACCGTTATCTACTTTAATGAAGATGGATCTGCCTGTCAAAAACAGGCGCAGTGTTTTACATGCAACAGATGCAGCGCTCCTGCATCAGCGAATCAGCCCTGGTCTCAATGCATTGTTGCTTAGAGAGGAAACTCAAACTGAGAACGTGTTAAAAGGTTTTCTGAAAAGAGGGGGATCAAGGGTTGAATAAGGGGGGTAAGGACAGAAAAGGAAAGCATCATTGCTGGTTAAATCCTTGTTGATGCTGTGTAATGAGGAAATGAGTGTAGAATCAGAGATGCTTGCCAGAGGGACTGCCTCAGGAAAAAAGGTGAAGGATTTTATATTAATGTCTTGCATGTTTTAAAGGAAGATATCACATTGCAGGCTGGAGTACGCTGCAGTGCAGAGCTTCTCCTGGAGATCTTGTAGAACGTATGATGAATGAGACTGGGTTTCACACAGCAAACCAGCTTGTAAGAAAAGCTACCAGCCAATCTGGCTTGTGTGAAGACCTATAAATATGCGATTATGGGACTGTGCTGGTTGCACTAACGAGAATGTCTACACTGTTAGAAATAAAGGTGTTGTGCAGGTACATTTTTCATTCAAGGTACAAACAATGTAAATGTTTCTCCAAAGGTACCACAGCGGTTTTAAGGTCCAACTCTGAACCTTAAATAAGTTTTTCCAGGTGAAAAGTTTGTATTTGTACCTTTTCATAACTGAATGTTTTAAAACAGAACAGTAAAATAAAAGCCTGGAGACGAGACGGGGT